ACATGTAACGCAAATGCATCATTTTTTTCAACTTCGAAATGGAACCTTGGTCGTTTTTAAGTTGCATCGAAGTGAAACCGTATTGAATGTAAAAATTTATACCAAATGGCAACTGATTAAGAGGAACAGCATCTCCAATTTGGAACGAATAGACCAAGGTAGATATGCATTTCTAATGAATACTGATATTTCAAAATATTGCACACACTACAAGTGTACGTTAAGCAAAAAACAAAAAAATTATTGTTAATTTTCTTATGTGAAACAAAATTTGCTTCATGTAGGATGGTTAAATTGAGAATCCCAACTCAAAGCATTTCAAAGATCGCTGTTTATATTTTTTGAAATGTCGATGATTCATTAGGAAGTTAAATTTGACAGTTGGGCATTATCGATTTTTCTATTCAAAACAAAACTCCCATCTACTTGAAAATGCGTCGTTTTAACCTGAAACTTGGCCTTATGTTGGGATTAAAGGATGAATATGCAAGACAGCATATTTCTACAACTTGGAATTTATTGATTAAGGAAAAAGGATAAATACTGTTATAGTATTAGAAAGTTACAATATGGATGGTTATATTTTCCATAGATTCTTACTATCAACGCGAGCAACATTCTCAATAATGATATTACCCACGGAACTACTTATATCCTTAAAATCTTTTTGGAAGTAAAGACATTCGTACACTAATCAACTCGTGGTAACACGCATAGGACATCATTTTTATGAAAGAACCATTCTTAAAGGATTATTAAAAAAAGACAAATTTCACCGGCCGAACACGTAAACAAGGCAAATCACAGAACCTCAAATGTACTTTTATTGTGAATTGACGCAGTAAAGAATATTCATGACCAAAAGCCATCCATTTAACACATTGAACTTTCTTGAGAAAGTTGCACACTTGAAAATCTATTCTTTTTATACAAAATTAGGCTGTATAAGTAATAAAGTGTAGTAAAGTTTGTTTATTTTATGTATACAAAAAGTCATCACAGTTTCAAAGTTCACTTATAAAATTCAAAGCAAAAAAATTATGCAATCTGTATTTTATATGCATTGTGCATCGCATGGTTCATAATTTTAATCGCAAACTATTTCGAATTTGACTTGAGCACAATTGATAAATTTTTGACCCCCGCCTCTCCTCGTGAGGAGACAAACCAATGAGAACAGCCTGAAAATTTTTCGATCAATAATTTTTCCTTTAGTGAATATAGGGCGGAAGTTAGAGAATTTGTAGTGGATTTACGCATTACATATTTGCTTTACGTCTTTCGTACGTATTCACTAAAGCCATTAGGATAGGTAAGACCGTCAATCCTCTTCGGAAGAGATAATTATCCCATTTTTTCCCTATTTTAAAAAATATTCAGATATTATATTAACTTGGAACAGCAATAGATAGACGTAGAAGATTGCATATTATTTACGAGATGGGGAGTAATTATACCAAGTAAGTTCTCTGGGGGAGAAACTGGCATTACTGCCAAATTGGGGTAAAAAAGAATACTCTTTTAGCCAGGGAAAGTAAGACATTCAGTGTTGGTGAGAAAGAAGAGCAATAAGGACGTAAGTGCTTAAGAGCGAATTTTATTTAAAATTTCAACACTGGAATATCTGATAACATTGCAGAAATGGGAAACCCGCATACACGTGGTTGACAAAAAAAAATAAAAAAATTGGTAGGTGTCGTTTTTGGAAAGGGAGATGGTGAAGATGATGATTTCAAATGAAATAAGCAAATTCAGTTATTCCGTTATTTTTAAAGAAAAAATTCAGCACTTCATATCTCAATTTGCATAAAAGCAGTAGTGTTGAATGTGAGGAGTTCAGAAATAGAAACGGAAATTTTAATATAACAATAATTACTGGTTAGCACCGGTCAATTAAAAAAGTTAATAAAAACGTTGATCACAAGTTTTAAAAGTACCCCCCAATTTCGTGCTCAAAAATGTATAAGCAGAAGGGATCAAGCTATAAGACCTCTACTTAGTTCGTATACATTTGAGGTGCAGTATTTCGAGGTGAGTAAAGTGCACAAAGATTAGAAACTTTATTTACTTTCCAGACATCTTCTTTAAATGCATTCTTCTATATGGCGTAAAGGGTTCAAAGAAATGCATAACGACAAATCGACCGAGCAAGTAGCTTTCATTTTGCTATTTCAAATTATTCATTTTCACCATCTTCCACACGATTCTGCCCATTAACGATATTTAATTAAAAGTAAGGCATCAAAACCAAATTAAACACTGAATGGAATTGTTTTCACCTTTTACTTCTATTATGGGTTATGCCTAAATACATTTTTAATGTTGGAATCAGTTCACCGTGTCATCCAATCTGTCGACTATAAGCCAATTCAGATTTCATAAAGCATTCTAATCAACGAAATAAATTCATCTGTAAAAATAACGGTTTAAATCCAACGTTCGCTCCTGTTCATGACATGAATTGTTCATTAATAAATATTGAAATATAAAAAGTAGCGCATCATTGAATACATCCATAGATTTAAAATGCAGTGACGGTGTATCGATTCATTTCCCAAAACAATTTTTCAATGTGATATATATTTACAAATATTAGGGGATTATAATATGCTATATGCATAATATAAAAACAAATCAGCTCTCAAGAATGAGAAAAAAAGTGACATCTAAGAACGATTCTAACGAAGTGTAAAAAGCATCTGGAAAAATTGAACTAACCGCTATAATTTTGCTATTAACAGGTCAAGTTTGTGTTGAAAGCAAAAGCATAAAAATGAGTGACATCTCAATGAAACTCTAAGCTCTGTTATATGAAATCAGCTTATAATTTCTGAAGACACTAAAATGAAATGGACGATTATGGCAAATGGTTAGTCAATAAAAGTGATTTAGAAGAATAAAATGTTAAAATATCTAATACTCGCACATATATCACTGACTAAAAAAGTGATATTTATTAAAAACTTTAACGCTCATCTACAACGTCAATTGTAAAATCAATATGCTTAAGCATAACCTATAATTAACCGTTTTATATCACAATAAACTAGTCAAATGGTCCATATAGTTTAAATTATAAAGGTATTAAACTCATGTCAAAGTCAATATGTGGCATATGAAAAATTAATTGGTTGTATTGGCCTTTAAGTTAAAGGATATCATAATTTTTGATAGTATTACACATATTATTTTAAAATAGACAAAATATAGACAAAAGCATCTTACCATTAAGTACTTGTTTCGGCTTGAGTATACTCTTTCTAGCCTGACCAGAGCTATCAGTCTCTGAACTCATTTGGTTTACTTCCGAATAAGCAGGACCAAGGTCTTAACTATATTCTAAAAAATAGCTCAGTGTGTAGGTCATGTTATTGGGTAGTATAAACAAATAATTTTAGTTCCATTTAAAGTAGGTATAAATTGGAAACAAGTTCGAAAAAAAAATTATGATTAAGAATTTTGTTATTTGCTTTGATCTGACAATAATATAAAAATTTCATTAACATTATTTTTATTTTAATGTAAATTGTCAAAAAAGCCACTTTTTTAGTTCACCTGATTCGCAGAATAATACTTTTCTTTCCTCTACATAATTTGGATGTTATTAGCAATGAATAAGTATCCGACTTTTCTCTCCAGTTGATATTATCATGTTAAATTATCTTCCTAATAACAGAATCACCAAGTTCAATAAGTCAAATTCAAAAATGGTATTCCAAATTTATGATTTCGTAATCTTATAATCTATGCTTTACTCCTCCATAAAATTATGTTATTGGAATTCACTTTCTAAAGAGTAATGATATTTTAGCTATTTTCTATTTGATCTCCATGCCAATATTTCCAATTAAGTGTCTGCTTTCTGCGATTTTGAAGTATCAATTTCCCGATTTATATTCCCAAATTTAGTTTCACAAATAGTTTGCATATTTTATTAGTTATCATTAGATAAAAAGATAGTAAGACTAATTTTCTATAAATGTACCACATTAGTTGTAAATAGAGCTTACTAATTCCATGGCTAGATTATTGATATAAGAATTGTTTATTTTTGTTTTAGTAGCCAGTAATATTTTTTAGATGGACTGACAAAGTAGACTGATAAGTTATAATATTTTTGAAAAATCATTCATATCTTATTAAGATGGTCAGTGATTTTGAAGACATAAATTCCATCTATAAGCTTTCCGCTCCCTTTTAAATTTTTTGACATTTTAAGCACTTCGGACTTTGCCGGAAAATGGTGCGATTGAATGTTGGGCTTATAGTACTCTTAAGCTGTTACCAACTCGTCAACAGAGACCATGAAAGCAAATACTCATAGTATTCAATCGGTTAAAACTGCCAAATGAGTTTCAAATGTCTCTCTCAACTTAGAGCACATTTCATCCGCATATGAAAACCCTACCCCTCCCCCCTCTTCGTAATGAGCGAATTGACTACTGCCATCATCAACCATCAGTTCTGTCTTCCCCCTTACGTTTGAGTAGTTGAATGGGTTGGCAGACCAAATACGATCTCGAAGTATAGGAGCAGTAATTGACGCTAAATATTTTTCCAATGTCATAGTTACAATTCACAATGGGGCTACGTTCCAAAATCCAGAAGAACAAAACCAAATCACCTTAAAATCGTAACAATTTATTTGTTCTCAATAATATGATCCTTACATATATAAACTAATAGATTATTACAGGAATACTTTAATAATAGATTTTGTATTTGTATATAGACGAAAGAAGAATAGTGTGGGAAAATACGAAAGTTTCCGTAGAAGAGTTGGTTGGAAGAAGTTGGGCCGTGGAATACAGTGTTGACAATGACATCAGTAGTAGAAATGAATATGAAAAAAGGACACACACTTAAAGGGTGGCCTAAAAATTGATTATTTCACCTATGTACATATAGGAATGATTGATTCAATGTCCCATTAGCAGATTGCTGATTGATTTAAGGGCTGGCTGATTGGGATCTTACTGCTGCTATTCATTAGCAGCTTTCTAATCTTTGCTATTTGCTATGGAGTCATTTAATTGGGGAGTGATTGGTGATAGGGTCTGGTACTGCTGCCGAAGCCTTTCTATTGTATCAGAGAGTTGGGACATCACATCTCCCTGGGCTCGAATGAGTTCCGTAAGCTGGGTGATTTGAGCCTCAAGAACGGAGACTTTCTGCTTCAGGAAAAGCACTTCATCTGATCTGCAAAGATAATTGGACAATTAAATAAACTTTATCGAAGGTCATACTTAGGAATCTTAATAACCAACTAGCTGATACTAAACCTAATAACCATCTTGAAATTCGGATATGCTAATATCAGATAAAATTGAATCATTTTGGAAAAATGCGGACAACTACAAGCCCCGGCTCATGATAATTTTAATCAAGATGCCTCTTAGCTGAACGGAACATACTCAAAATCTTTGAAACATCAAAACCTTTACAGACAAGGCGATGCCAGTCACAACTCTGATTCCATAACCAAAATCTCCAATCTTTACATCAGTGTGTTTCGAAGTTTGGATACGGTCATTTGGTTTAATGAGCACGAATCCTTCAATTGAATGCCCATTTACCCAATTCACAAGATAAAAAGTTTTGAATGGAAAGGCTTTCAGTATTGATAGTAGAATTTAGAGAAGAAGCTAAGATGGTTCAAATATGAGCTTGGCAAAACCCGGAAATAGTGACAAACAGATAATAAAATTGTGAAATATCAAGATAAGAAACTAAGAAGAAACGATCGGATTCCGCCACGGGACTCTAAGAGAGGAAGATGGGTTTAAAATTCATGAAAAAATCGCTACAGAACAGAATGAGTCATTATCGCCGCTATCCCATTGGCACGCAAAAATAAAAACGATTATACTTGCTTTTTAGAAGGCAGTTTTACTCTCTCCTCAGCTCCAGAAGGAGGGCACAAAGACGGAGGAGCGGAGAGTGGAGACAGAGAACCCAAAGAGGAAGGCCGTTCCGACGATTGGCAGCACACCTCCTGATGCTGTTGTTCTACAGGCGGCGGTGGCGGATTTATAAAAACTTGCGAACCTCTCCACAGAGTGGCCAGCATCGAATTCAATTTTATAGAAAGTTCTTCTGGAATAGGAGCGGGAGGATTGCTTGATGGATGGTGGGAATGTGTACAAGAGGATCCGCCATCTTCCGCCTCCTTCACTTCAACAGCATCTTCACTCTTAACCTAAAATACAAAAGATACATAAATAATTCTAACTCAGTGATAGAAAACTACTCAAATAGATTTTCACAAGACAAACCTGGAGAGCAACTTCAGAAGAACTGTTTCTGTTTTCTTGTAGCCGTTGCATGAAGGCTAACTCTTCTTCAGTGTAACCAGTATAATTATCAGCATCTTCACTGTTATCCCCTCTGCCATTTACTGGTTCTTCACCGTTCTGACTTTCAGTAGTCTTGCTCTAAAGGAGAAAAATCAATATTTTTCTTTGAGAATGGGAATAAATAAAAAACCAGTTGGATAGGACAAAAAATTGAATAGTTCTTGTAAATAATTTGGAATATGTTTAAAATTAAACAGAAAAGTGGGACTTACAGATTGAGAAACGGTCGCTTGGCCACATTCTGCAGCTTGACCTCCAGCTGAAGAGACAGCAGCGGCAGCAGCAGCAGCAGTAGCAGCCTGAACAAGGCTAGGTACGATCAGCTGAGTACTCGAGGCAGCACCCGTTGATTGAGGGAGGACAGAACTGAGACACTTTAGAAGATCCTGCTGGACGGATGTGGAAGTCTGTTGATTGGCAACAGCAGTCAGAAAAGATTGTGGAAAAATTATGGAGGGCACTTCGGTTGTAGTAGTGGCAATGGATTGTCGGCCAGCCGACGGAGGTACAACACTACAACAGAAAATTAACTAATGAGTTGGACTTTTGGTGCATCAAAAACAAAAGTCACCAATTTAGGGTGATGTTGTACAGAAGGATGCTTGGTCAAGGAGTTACCAAATTGGGGAAAGTGAATTAAACAGTTCCAGATCGAAGATAAGGACTTTAGTTATCAGCTAACAACATTAAGCAACCGTTTCAGGAAGCAGAGCACAATGTATTGCGTAGGTCAACTGCATTTAACAAATCAAGAGGAGGAATTGAGAGAGTAAGAGACAAATGGGAAGTGTATGGAGCAGATAAGCGACAAGTGTGCATACGTATAGGAGTACAAATACAATAGCAGTCATGGGTCACATGATCAAGGTGGTACGTAAGAGGAATGGTGCAAGTATATTTGAGATTAACCTTTTAAAGCCCTGCAAGGCCGTTCGACCCTCTCCCAAGCTCCTTCGGTAATTGACTCGTAACAGAAGGCGCTATTACCGCTTGAGACATGTTCAATACGTCTATAGCCTTCGCCTAATACCAACAAAACTCAATACATCGACGGTATCAGTCTGCGGCTGGGTGCATTTTTTAAAAAATAATTCGGGGGTTAAAGGGATAAGCAAGGCAGTTATGGAAATAAAGAGAATCGATAGCCTCGTCCAGATATGACAGATCGATGATTGAGTCAGAGGGAAATAGAAGCAAAAATAAAAAACGCTAACAAAGGAGAAAATTGGAGTCTCCATTGGGTAAACCTAACTTTCTTTGATTTTCGGAACCACTAGGATGTACACCAGTTCGAATTCGAGTATTCCAAGTTCCCCAATATGTTGTACGCCCAAGACAGGTAGATTTAATTGATCAGTAGACTGATTTTGGACATTAGGGTGTATCTCATTTCAATACGTGCTATTCCACTCGTTATCTCATCAAACAAGTTAACTAATACAAACCAGCATAATTTTAAAATGGCAAACTTCGCTAGAGTTCACTTATGCAAAGAGTCTACCAAAAATGCTCATGAATATTCTAATAATAACTGAAGCTAGCACTGATAAATTGGCAGAAAGTATATAAAAAAGGAAAGGACAATGAAAGTAAAATGAAATCACGCGATGATTCCAACATTCTTAGTTATAATTAACCAAGCTTTTAAGCAGGAATTCACTGATGTTTATTCAGGTTAGACTTCAAGTCCAGTGAATAAATCATCATGCCAGAATGCCAGTCCAGAATAAAGTTTTGCCGACACCAACAAAGAATGAACAAGAGAAAAAACTCAAACTCTACGACGCTCTCACCAAAAATTTAAACAGAGGTTTTTGAGCATGCAGTTACTAAGGCATTGGAAGCATGCTGAGTTAGTAACATCAACAGCACGATAACCAGCATGGAAGCAGCGAAGCCACGAGAAGTCGTGATTCGGAGATGTACTCAATCATAATCCCAACTAATATGACAAGATGGTCATTTCGTCTCTAGATTACTCAATCTTGTCCACATCTATGTTCTTTCACATTAGCATACCTTGCCTATATAAGATGGCATTCAACAGACACTTGTTCAAGCAATACTGCCTATGAGACCTCATATAATAACCTCACAAATTAACCGATAATTGATAACATATTACCAACATTTTAGAGGAATAAATGAATCTTGGATGGAGAGTAAAGGCGAAACTTACTTAGAAGTCCCATTCGCTGTCGCCAGTGTTTTGATGGGCCAATTCAGGGTGAAGGTTCTGGGAGTGTTAGCTGAAGATCCATCTGTATTAGTAGTAGGGAGAATATTCGCTTTTACAACACCGAGTGATGAAACTGCGTTACCGGCGGAGACCCCAAGCTGTTGAATTTGAGTTGGTGTTAGAAATGCCAATTGAACCTAGAAAGAAAAATAAACGGAAACGGGTATTTAAAAGCAATTCTGCAGTTCTCGCTTTTCTCTTTGTTCCTTGTTTGTCTTCTATTACAGTGCTATTGATTTTTAGTTTCAGACTCTAGAGCTGATTTGCGCGCCGAGTGCTTTACTCGCTTATCATTAGTCACTTATATTCTACTCATCAAGCACTTGGATTAGCGAGGCGCTGCATGCTGGGGTGACTCAACTAAACTATCTGACTCTCCAATTAGGCTTGTAATTAGTATTGTCAAAGAAGAAAATACACTAGCCTTAACGTCAATGAATAAAAGCCAATAGTAATGATATGAGAATTATCAAATCTATTTCGAATTCCCTCCATCGCATTCATTCAGTCCGATTTAAGTTTACATATCATTTCAACGGTAAAATCACCCATACTAAGGGGTTACCAAAATATTTCTTAGTAATCAATCTGGTTCGCCCACCTAATCAGACATAATTTATACTACATACAACGATGTGGTCTGAGATCATTTTGGGTTCTATACTCAGTGCCCAGTTTCCAGTTTCCCTCACTTTGTCCTCTCTAAAATAAGTTTCCAACCTCAGTAAGTTGGGAATTTCTATCTGGCACAGATTATACCTGCTATAGTTATGCCAACTCTAGTACATATGGGAAAATGGCAAAAAGATAACAGCTTACATCGTTCGGTTTGACAGTCGAGGTAGAACTAGCGGTACTAGATGTGGAACTCGGATTCGATGAAGAAGCTTCATCATTTGAGCAACCAAGGCATCTACACCGTTGATTGCAGGGAATCTTCGCCTATTCGTAAATAAGAGAAGTATTAACACAAATCAATTAAGTGTTTGTTGAGAGACGGTAATGGGACTTACAAGATAGCATTCACAGTAGCCCTTGGAGCAATGCGACCGTTTACATCGACAACCTAAAACGTGTTTTCCAGAGTCCTCTAAAAGTTCGAGGGAATAAAACATGTAGAAGATGTGTTTATAAACTTTTCCAAGACAAAATAAAATCAAATTTTCAGCAAAAAAAAGTATTAGACCGTGTCTCCATCATCCGGTTCAATTATGCACCGAGTAAGTGGGGATAAACGTACCAATCGGAAGAGTTTAAAATTCGCCTAGTAAATTGTCAATTGTAGTACCTAGACGACCCCTATAGAGGCCAACTTAATAAAAATTTATCTGACATAAAGGTACTTTCGATTATAGAATCTGGAAGACATTTTACCACATTTCTATATTAGAACTCTGTTATGTTTGAATAGGCTAGATTTAATCACCTCGTTGATACTCTGGCTACTAGAGAGCTACATATGTCGTATTCCGCTACTAACTCGTTTGCCTGGCCGTGAATCCGGAAATTAGAATTATTTTTATTCGATACATAGGTGGTTGCATATATCCATAAACAAATGAGAAGACTTATTTAAGCCCATAAAACAATCAATATTAAAGGTAACCTGACAATTGAACCCAAACTTCTTTTCCAATTTGAAAAGTAAATTATCTACTTTTGCAACAGGCGCCTTGAGCAGATGAGTAGAGTTGTGGAGCCTTCACGAAGAGAAAGTCGAATTTCGACGGATGCAACCACACTAGGTGGTTAAAAATGGGTATCAGATTTACGACTTCTGAATTAGTATACGGATATCTACATCGATATGCTACTGTTTTACACGGATTCCTCCTAATCACTTGCTTAGAACCAATCAAGCTTGCATAAAATTTTAAAGTATTTCGAAGGAATATTGAATGATGAATGGATGGCATGATTTTTGAAATGTAAGTAAGCTGATAGATGTTGCGGTAGTCGGATGAAACTGTTTAGTGTTGATGCTTAAACGGGTGTATGGGTGGATGTTTCTTGAACAGACGATTTTCTTGCGGGCGAAGGAACGACTCAAACGAAACACGCAACCCATACCACTCACCGATTTTCGGTTTAAACGCCAGGGGGTTTCTTGAGAGAGCTGTTCTTACAGCTACATCTCTTGTTTGTTTGGTCTCATCATCAGCGAGGTTGTTATAACAGTGACGACAATTACAACTCTCCCCACAAGCCCTACCAGCAGCAAAACAATCGCAGTAGAGTTTCAGGCACTTGGAACGACTGCAAGAACAAATCTGTTGGGTGTTTGATGACGTTGAAGTTGTGCTGGATGGCTGTGATGCTATTAATTGTTGTGTTGATGATGTTTGACTGGATGATAGAGTAGTGGTGGTGGTGGTGGCAGAAGGCAAAGAAGGAGACACCAATGAACCTGTTTTTGCAGCTGATATGGGAGTGAACTTAGTCTCCGGCTTGGCAGCTGGAAGAGGATAGGATGACAAAGCTGTTAACTATTAAAGCATCCCCTTCAGCTTAACACTAAAAACATTGACGCTTACCGCAAGTGGTTGCAGATACGGGAATTCTTAGTCCATTTGGCAGGATTAGCTCTAATTGTTGGGGTTTCGCTGCCACTGAAGCAGGTTGAATAGATGGGGATTTTTGTTGGATTAAAGTGAGAGAAGCCCCGGGAGTTACAATATTTGGGGTTGTTCCATTAGTGGTTGTTAGGAGAATGGTTTGAGGTGTTGTGTCGTTGGGACGAAATTGGGTTGTGGTGGGGGTTGATGAGACGCTTTTTGGACGGAGATTTGTGGTAGTTGGAGCTACCGTGGCAGGAATTGGCACTTTGAAGGAATCTGGTGGGTGTTGTAACACTACTGATGGTGTGTTAGTAACAGCTAAGGAAGATGGTTGAGGAAGAACTGGGGTTGGCGTCTGACGGGCAAAAGTGGGATGTTCTGCTACAAAATACAATGCGGAACACATAAATATTAACACTTCCATGTAATTTCTGATAAAATGGAGGAAAGGTATTAACCATTCAGTATTCTTCTCAGATTACTATTTCAGCGAAGCACTTACTTTTTGGACGTCCTAAAAAAGAATGCGTGTTTTCCAACACAACTTGGAATGACAAGAAAGGAGGTGACCACTTCTACCGCTGAGATAAAATGGGAAACATTTCCAAATGTCCTTTTATAGACTATTTATTTAGAAGGGTGTAAGCATTTAAAACCACAAGAGAGATCCCGCTACTTGAATCAATAGTCACATGGATAAAAATAAAGCCGAAGGGTAGAGAATACCTGACGATGACCCAAATGAACTTCAAGAAACACTCTTCTCTCGCATACACTACTATATCCAATCGTAGAAATACTTGAGGAACCAATCAAATTAGCTTAAGGGGCATTTACTGTCCCTTTCAAATTCAAAGAAGAGGAAAATGTACATTGAGCCACCAAATAGAAATTAGAGTACGACGGATAAAGTTGACTGTTTAGCACTCTTTGTCTGACCAATGACGATGACAAAGGTCAAATAGAATGGCACAAATGGTAAAGTGTCTAGATGGATGTCAATGCTTTTGCTTAAGTCCCCTCAACTGAAAGCGTATAAACCTCAAGTTGGACCAAAGTGAGTCACATCCATTTATATAGCGACCAATTGACCAAACATGGGTCGATGAGTTAGGGGTGAGGGGACTGTGGCCAAGTTAAGATACTCATTTACTCCCACCCCGCGTATTCTTCGCTACTTGGTCCTCGTTTTCATTTTTCATACATCTTATGCACTTCATGCCCATGCATACGAAGTGTCCTATTCATATGTGATGCCTTAATCAAGGTCACTCAAAATCGAGCGAATTAGCCGAAGTGCAAAGGAAACCAGGGTGAATTATAAAAGTGGATAATTTCTCAGTTACTCAAAGAATACATTCATTACAAGTGAAGACAATTTGCGCAGGAGATACTGTGCTCGATTGTGAATGTAGAGGTCGAGTCCGATGTCCATTTGTGTACAAAGTGAATGGAAAAGACTAGGACTACATTGGTTAAGTCTAGGCGCCAAAGAGAGTAGAATAATTCACATATGACTTCTTGATGCTCCAAGATGAGTGCTTTTAAAACACTTGGAATACAATAAAAACCCTACGATGCTTGCTAAGTTCATTATACGGTGGACTAATTTGCAAACTTGAGAAATAGTAGCACTTTAAACCAAGAAATAATTTTGTCAATAAAGGTAAGTTTATCCCCAACAATAGCACGAACCTGCAATAATCTATAAAGTAGTAGTGTACTAAAAATATATAGGAATAAAGTAGCAGAACACGAACAATTTCATTCCTCTTAAGAGGTAACGAGAAGGGGATAGCCAAAACCTCAACATTAAGCTCAAAGTGAATATGTGATCTTATAATTTCACGCATACCTTCTATTTCAGCACGATTTGAAGACTTTTAGTTCACGATATCTAAGTCCGTAAAAAATAAAGAAAATAAAATCGGGTCTACTTACTCATTTTAGACCGCCCAGGTTTTCGTTTAGGAGGCGGAACTACAAAAAAAAGGAAGAAAAGAGTAGCAAACCCGAAAATAGACAAATTTGGTAAACTTCCGATAGTACAGTCTAGTAAGGTAATTATGTTGCTGATCTGAAAGCGCTAACTCTGCTTTAATTTCGAATGATTATGTACTTAAGTTATACGTAGTGTCATTTTGAAAGCGCAAGGAGTTTGTCAAATATCTTGATCAACATAGGGAACGCATACAAGTTACACGTGATATTACCACAAAACTGTAATTCCCTCTGAAAGAGATGAGGTGAAAATTTGGAAATTTTATTAGCAAATCCTGAGCAATTTAATTTTCTATCAGTAGAACAACTACTAATTAAACTTTTAAGTAGCGATTACTTACTACAAATCGATTTTGGGACGGAGAAATCGACATTCTTCCGAATTTAAAATGGTAGACATGCATAGTCGATAACAATTGACATTAAATGCTTGCTTAAATTGCACGTTTCTCTAAAAAATTCCGATAGAATTTGACCGAGACTTATTGACTTTTTCAGGGCTGCTTAAGGAATAAGCGAAGGTGGCGACAAGATTTTTTAAAATGCGACCTTGGATAGATGAATCGATTATAGACAGGATGTAAATTCTCACTCTCCCCCCCCCCCATCGTCGGTAAATGTCGATTTTTTGGCAGTGCAAAGTACAGATGAAGGCGATGATAAAAAATTGCCTGTTGAAAATAACGTGTTTAGGGATGATTTGCCGTTAAAAAGTGCTACGCGTGACAAAAAGAACAGATTTCGATAACTTTGACGAGCAACAAAGATAGGACTTGCTTTAACATCAATGAATTTAGCAATTGTGTATGCAATCGAGAAAATATTCAAGTTAGAAAGCACTTCAAAGTTATCATAAGTAAGGTATTCTCAACTGGAAATTGATAGTCAGAAACAGCAATATGACTTCATCACTCAGATACCAAAAGGCAGACGCGTAATGTAGAGGAAATTTTAAGAAATAATAAGTGAAAAATTTCAACATCGTAATATCAATTACATAACTCAAATCTCATATGTCAAATGGGTTTCAAGGCTACGTAGGTGTCAAAGGAAGAACGAAACATGAGCACGAGAATAACAAAAGATGAAAAAGAAGGAAATTCATTTGATAAATTTTTATTTAGGACATATTAGATTTAGATGGAGTCCAGAAGAAGGCAAGAGTAGAGTGGCAAATAATCAGGGCCGAATCGAACTATATTTCAATCACAACAAGTTGTGTCAAAAATGGAACTGTTGAGGGCACTTCTAAAACTCAATGTGAAGTGTCTCAGAAGACATCGACAATGATGAATTCAGCCATTCAACTCTTTTTTGCATGGCCAATCAATGCCAAGGGGGGATATAAAAAATCAAATATCGGAACTTAGACCATCTTGACTTCAAGGAAAATAGATGAAAATGTCTTGGATGAAGAATAAACATTTAAAATAGTGATATTATACGCAAAAGTGTAGTACTCAAAATTGACAAATTCCAATGAGTGCTAATATACCGCCTCCGGGGGCATTTTTGGAGATCCAGAAGAGAAAAGACCTAGGTAAAATGACGCCATAGTACCAGTTCTCATCTAAGGGGAATGATTTCCAAAGAAACCGACTTGAATAAATTTTCAAGCAAGCTAAATTTGAATTTTATCGACTTATGTAAGTAAAAGCTAGGGGGGGGGGGGGGGTTACCAATTCATTCAGAGCGAATCAAAGGGGTGTTGATTGCGGGCCGGTAGTTTATAAGTATGCTAAGACAGAGGACACGATATCGATACCAACCAATGATGTTGCGATGACTCCAAAGTGTCTTTTATCGATCTAAGGGATGCCTTCCACTTATCCAAAAGGAATAATAATAAACTACGCAAATGTCATTAAACAAATGGACATTAGTGAGACAAATTGATTATTTCTATTCAACCTAAATAGTGGCAATATGCCAGTCTCTCAACAGAGGTATTCCAGAATTCCCTTTATCTAGCCAAACCAGATGCTGGAAATCCGTTTCAAAATTGTTTTGGAGAGTTTATTAAGTTGACGTTAATCGAAGACACAAGGAGAGAAGACAACTCACCATCATCATCGCCAACATTTCCCTCATCACGAATTCGTTTCAAAATCTCTAAAACCTTGATATCTGAAGGCGTATGATGTGGTGCAGGATCCAATTCATCCCTAACTTTGCGAACTTTATTGAGGGGCTGCTGTTGTTGCTGAATGGCAATAAGAGAACCGGATGCCATAACAACCGTAGCTGTCGGAGCCAATGGAACTGACGTGGAGGTATCAACACCGCCACCTCCTTCAGAAAGAGAAATGGGGTGGTTTTGTTCAACTTTCATGGACTTGTGTGATTCCTCATTGTTTCCCATACTGCATAAAGTCCAACCTATATTAAAAGAGACCCATTATAAAGAATTACGAAATAGTTACCTCCTTTGTTAAGTGAAAGAAACTAATAAATTGAGACAGCATGATTCGTATTCTAGTTCAATTAATCGGAATATCAACTCTAAAGAATGAAAACAGACTACTAATCGAAAGAATTTTCTGAATGTAAACGGTCAAGAGTAGAATAAAGTCAACCTCTTAATTACATAGAATAGTTGGATTTTCTCCTTACTCTACCCCAAGTCAACTGTCAGCATACTATTTTGTCATAACAAAATTCGTCTACGAAAAATTGGACAACTTCCAAATCTTAAGGATCTAAAGGTGCAAAAGTTAAATTGGTTGAAGCTCCTAATTAATGACAACAGAGCAAGGTTTAATCAAACTGATTTAAGGCTTCAAAAAAGGGACAACACGATAACGCTTAGGGGTGTTTCATATTGAGTAGCATAATTAGAAATTGTAAAATCGATATATTAAGTTGGTGTTCATAAATAATGTGTGCCTGGTCTATTAAGTTAAGAGCATCCCAGCTTACATGAGATAATTGTTCTTCAAAGCCAAAATAGTAGCGTCTACAATGAGCACTTAAAGGTACAAGAAATTGAGGGAATAGCAAAATGAATGACAAATTATGAAATAGTTGACAAATTTGGATCGAATAACGAAATATGTGAGAGTGAAATTAAAACCATGAAAACTCGATGGCAATTTTAATTAGCAAAAGCACCCAAAATAGTACAAATTTGGCGTAACAGACTCGAATTGTCCAAAACCAATAGGGAACAGAAATCGTCTAATTGCGACCCCTTCTGCTCTAAATAAATTTGAACGAATAAATACATTTTCAAAAAGTACGGAAAATTTGTTTTACGCTATCAATTCTCTTTCACATGACTTTCCCAAATACATAAGTGTGAATCCAAACCTAGAGTTGAGTCATTGGAAACGGACCTTAATCGATCGAAATAAGGTCAAAGCTTTCTCAACCACATAAAACATACATAGTCCACAACTGGCTCTTGCATCTAATCAAATTAAAGGCCAAGATTCGAGTAGATGATGAAATCAACTAAACCGGGCCGGTAGAAAGATTGCTATGTTAACGTCGCCGTTAGTTTACTCCATGACTATATTTTACATCCTCAAACCCAAGAAAAGGACATAAGGTGGACTCTTATTACCTCATGTTAATTTAGTAAAGCCTGCAATACTAACTTGGCAGTAAAATAGGCGAAGTTAGAATCTAACTGACCACGAACGCAGCTACGAAAATTGGAAAATAATTAATGGGCCTTAAGGGATCAGTGGCGTAGTCGTGAACCCCGACTTAACTAATACAAACATCGTGGAGAAAGCTATATATCTAGCTAACTAGCCTTATTTAATGAATAAATGATAACTCAAGGACCTTAAATGGTCAATGGTGCAATTCAGATTTCCAAAACTAGCATTATTGGATAAGCATTTAGAGAACGTCAATTAGCCTAGTGTAGCTAGTCTGTTCCATTGGAAAATCGATAGTACTTAGCTATGAATCACGCGCTAGCTTTTTGTCTTTATGTAGCAGTACGGCCTCGCATCTCGCTCCTCTCTCTCACATTCATATGATGTCTCCGCATAGATATGTGGAAGGGTTGATTAGTCACAGTGACTGTCCGAGGGCTGTGTGTGCGTCCACTCTAAAACAAACCAGCCAATCGCATCGACGTGGATTCTAATTGGTTGGCTGGTTTTTAGATTGCTTATTGCAAGACAACTTTTGTGAGGGCTCAATTTAAAAATCGTCTTAAAATACATCTAAAACAATTTAACGTGATATGTATAAGATTCTTTTGATACTGGATCGATCAAACGAAATTCACTATAATGAGTATACAAGAAGTAACGTAATTGGTTACTAATGCCTAAGGTAATTGGCAAATTTCAATTGAATGATATCGAGTCAAATAATCTCAGCGCGTAGTTATAAGAAACCCTGATTTCATCAATTTAAAAGAAAATTGAAGACATGATAAAAGACGAAATCAAAGGCTGCCCGAAGACGCTGTTAACGTTAGATGATATACATCAAAACTATGCTGAGAACATCATATTTAGATATTCCAAGCAAAACATGGACAATCTTTGCTTTACGACTAGAGATGCACCCCAAGTGCTGAATTTTAATTAAGACAAGAGTTTAAACAACATCATTGATCAAGCCCACATTTTGAAAATTTCTAGACATTGCCTAATTAACTGAGAACTAACAACTTTAAAGTTCTATTTAACCTGGCAATTTGATTATACCTCCATGGTTAAGTTTTCCTAGGTACCCAGATAGAAGAACAGATAATACTGTGAGTAATAGACCGACTTTCACAATCTTAAGATATCTTACACAAAGGCGGTTAAAAGCTATTTTCATGAAAATTAAAATCGAAAAGCCAATAGGCAACTATAAGATAGCTATAATCTTGGAATTTCCAAATGGACCAGAGATCTCGAAAAATTTCAGTTATTATAATTGATGATACAATAACAGCATATGCGTGAGGTAACATGGGGAATTCATACCCATTTCAAGATCACAACGTGTTATTGATTTCCATTTACTGACTACCTTAAAATCAAATAATCGATTAACTTGCATCGAACCATTCAAAACAATTATCACAATTCATGAAGCAAAGCTCATAGGTTCTTTTAAGTGGCTATTATTGCACAGAATAGACTCGTGATTAATTTTAGCCTATAAAGGCAATATTGGAACCAACAGGAAATACTACTAAATTAAAGTAAGTAGCAGGAGAGAGTAAACAAGGAACCAAGAGCCTACTTACTCAAAAGGCACAAAGCAATACTCTTAAGGGCCATTAGGGCACAGGTTAATTTGCAATGAGTGAAAATAAATCAAGAAATCCTACGAATCGATAATTGATCTATTAATACAAACTTAAGGTCGATCCATGACAATTTTTTTACTAGCTCAAAGGTAAACTAATCTCAAGAACTAAATCGATAGTTAAACTTGACCTAAAATAATAAAAAAATACTGCTTAATTGCATAGCCCCGATTAGGTAGACGATAAATTGCATTGCCCTAGAGAATGGAATAAGATTCGAAATCTAATATCGATTTTTAAAAATGGAAATCAAGATTACAACATCTTGTTAATAAAATTAGTTCAAGCAAGATAGCTTCAATGTGAATACACAATAAACAGCGGGAATAAATCGATAATTCTAACTAACGAGAGAGGCCGCATTAACAAAATACCTGCACAGGCTAACAAGCTGTTCTATTCAACGTGTAATCGTACAACCAAACAGAGACGAAAAGCGTAAACGCAAGTAACAACAATCAATGCGAGACCAATTGACCAATCAGAGTCCCGCACAAACACATATAGGCAGCATACGCGCACTAGCTGTATTAAGTTATGCATCGATTTTTGCATTAGCGCGCACTAGTACCACCGCACGTGCGCTTATTAGTCGGCGCTTTCGCGAATGAACACATGAACGCATGTGTCTATTATCGATCGATTTTTGATGTGCGCAAGCGATAAGTGAGAGAGAGCGGAGAATTAGAGATAGAGGGTGGTACGACCGCACAAGAATTCACGCGAAATTAAAGCAGGACTTAGCTGGGTGATACACACGCACCAGTCAATTTTGTGCGCGCTAGATTCCGAATACAATTATTGATCTTCGATTATAACACTTGACGGAATTTCATATAATGCAAATCCTATCAGAGCTGGAGATGACGATGATGATACTGCATTAATTTAGAAAACGTGACAACTACAATTATGACTAGAGCAAATCAATAGTCTGGAGAATGTATAAATTCTGAACTGCGGTCGAAGGAACTGCATGCGAAAATTTGATGCCGACTGACTGGCCCGAGAAGTAATAAAAAATCGATAGACCCAGCTGCGATGCAAAACGCAAAATTTACTATCGATTTGCAACAGATGAGAGATAAAACATTGATTTTCAGCTTACATGATTTAAGAATTATCGATAAAGATGATTGAAGCTAAAAATTATGTGCAGAGCAGACTTTATATTTGCAGATTTTTAATGTTAAGTTAACTGACAATGGACCGAAATTGCAGCCAATTTAAAATTTAAATTAAGATCTTTACGTGGTATGCCACAGATTGTTTATATATATTACTCAAAATTAGTTATGACTTAGACGGTAGAGTAAATTAATGAATTGAAATCAATAAAACATAGAAATTAGCTAACTAATGGATACATAGACCGTTCAAACACAGAATAGATTTTTTATCCGCTATCGCTAGTTCTACTCTAGTTACCTACCCGAGGAACTAAAGCTCATTTAGCAAGCATTGTCAAGATAAGTACATAGAGACCGAAATATAAAGCAGTTATTAGTGAATGACACTAGCACTATCAATTTATAACTCTAGAATAAATATACTTATCCTAACAAGTAGATAATTCTATGTAAAATCAATAACTTTTGAAGTAAATTTGAATTGGAAATGAAACACACAGAACTGCAGAATAATACAAGAATGATCGCATATTAGTACAAAGCACAGTTATTGAAGTGTAGAAATCAGAAAACCATTGGATAGCATGAAATGGACACTGCCACAATGGAAATCATTAATGAAGCTCAAATAACTAATTGGATAATGGACTGAATGGTTATATTAATAAAGATTCTTTCATCATATTATCCCTACATTAGGTTGGAAAATTACTAAGAAATGAAAAAGTACTGGTTGCAATTAAGCACAAAGCCTAATTATGTAACAGAAAAAGCAAAAAACAGAATAATCTATACCTACAAAAAATACATTAGATGCAGAAGGAGAAAATCGTAAAATTTTAACAATTATGGTTGAAACCGTTTAACTTACCACACAGTAAGAAGGCGTCTGACTTGGAATCTGAAAAAATAAAAGCTATAAAAATTTTGATGAAAAAAATGGAATTAAATATTTAAATATAT